CTGAACGGCGTATGAGTCATACTAAAGTGCTGTACATCAAAAACAACTGCCATTTTTTTTAATGATGTATGTCAAAAACAACTGCCATTTTTTAATGATGTATATCAAAACAACTGCCATTTTTATGCTGTACATCAAAAACAACTGCCATTTTTTTATACTGTACATCAAAAACAACTGCCATTTTTTATGCTGTATATCAAAAACTACAATTTTTTTATGCTGTACTTCAAAAACAACTGCCATTTTTTTGATACTATACATCAAAAACAACTGCCCTTTTTTATGCTGTATATCAAAAACTACCATTTTTTTATGCTGTACTTCAAAAACAACTGCCATTTTTTTAATGATGTATGTCAAAAACAACTGCCATTTTTTAATGATGTATATCAAAACAACTGCCATTTTTATGCTGTACATAAAAAAACTGCCATTTTTTATACTGTACATCAAAAACAACTGCCATTTTTTATGCTGTATATCAAAAACTACCATTTTTTTATGCTGCACTTCAAAAACAACTGCCATTTTTTTGATACTATACATCAAAAACAACTGCCCTTTTTTATGATGTATATCAAAAACTACCATTTTTTTATGCTGTACTTCAAAAACAACTGCCATTTTTTTAATACTATATATCAAAAACAACTGCCCTTTTTTATGCTGTATATCAAAAGCTACCTTTTTTATGCTGTACATCAAAAACTGCCATTTTTTTGATACTATGCATCAAAAACAACTTCCCTTTTTTATGCTGTATATCAAAAACTACCATTTTTTTATGCTGTACTTCAAAAACAACTGCCATTTTTTAATACTATATATCAAAAACAACTGCCCTTTTTTATGCTGTATATCAAAAGCTACCTTTTTTTATGCTGTACATCAAAAACAACTGACATTTTTTAAGGCTCCATGCACACTGATTTAAAAATCACTGCTTCTACAGGAGTTGTGTGTTTCCTGTAGAAGTAGCGTAGTGTCCTCCTACGGGTCCACGGCTCGTTAGGACGATATTTTCAGCTCAATGTTTACAGGCAGGAAAAACAACCGTTCTGGTTTGAGCTTTCTGGCAAGAAAAGATGCAAAACTCGCCTAAACTGTGCACAAAAATTATTTTTCAGTGTTTTTTTTGTGCCAAGGGAACTGATTTTTTTTTTTTTTTTTAAGCCCAGTGTGTATGGAGCCTAATGCTGTATATCAAAAACAACTGACATTTCTTTATGCTGTATATCAAAAACAACTGACATTTCTTTATGCTGTATATCAAAAACAGCCATTTTTGTGCTGTATATCAGAAACAACTGCCATTTTTGTGCTGTATATCAGAAGAAACTGCCATTTTTTATGTTGTATATCACAAATTGCCATTTTTAATGCTGTATAGCAACAACTGCAATTGTTTATGCTGTATATAAAAAACAAACTGCCATTTTTTATGCTGTATATCAAAAATTGCCTGTTTTATGCAATATATAAAAAAACCTGCCATTTTTTTATGCCATATATCAAAAACAACTGCAATTTTTTTTTACGCCGTATATCAAAAACAACTGCCATTTTTTATGCTGTACATTAAACACAACTGACGTTTTTTTTAAAATTCCCACTCTGAGCACCAGAAAAAAAAATGACCCTTGCAGTTGGGCCTCCCCCTGCACTGCAGCAGTGCTGGGTTAAGTCTAGAGGTAGAGGAATAACCTGTAGTACCCGATTCCTCACTCCTGCAGCCCTCCTCCATACTGTGCGCCTGGTCACCCCACAGTATCTTCTCATTGGTGCTTCGGCAGTCGGCTTCACTCTGACATCATCAGGTACAATGCGGGGCCAACAGTCCTGCATTGTACATGGGGGCAGTGGGGACTGTGTGCAACCTGGAGTGTTGTAGAGAAGAGGGGGGGGGGGGCTGTAAGCCTGCCAGGGGGAGGAGTAAGGTATTAGGGCCATTTACAGTAGAGGTTTGGGGGGGGGATAAAACCACATGGTTGAGCCCCGTTCTTACCCCCTTGCTTACAGCAGGAACTCTATCGACTTTCATGTTCAACGGGCACTACCGCCTGTCAAACACAACCTGTGCAGCCAGCATGACATTTCTCAGGTTTCCTGACGGTGACAACAGTGTCTGTGTAATGAGTGTTGCAATGTTCGCTGGTAGTCTCCATCAGGTGGCACTGTGATGGGGTGACAACGCAAGAGCACAACTGCGAGACAGGGACAGAATGTTGTCACCCCAGGGACGGATCTAGCCTATCTGATCTGGGGGTGCAGTAAAAAAAAGTCAGGGGGTGTAAGGACTGTGTGTGAGTCTGACTGTCTGTCACAGAATCTCATGGCCTGGGAAGCACCAATATTTATCAGGTTTATTTATTTCAGGTACTTATATACCATCAATGTACGCAGCGCTTTATATTGTACATTCCCATCAGGCCCCGCCCCTGAGGAGCGTACAATCTAAGGCCCCTAACTCACATTCATACATACACATACTAGGGACAATGTAGACAGGAGCCAATTCACATCCCAGCATGTCTTTGGAGTGTGGGAGGAAACCAGAGTACCCGGAGGAAACCCACGCAGGCACAGGGAGAACATGCAAAGTCCAAGCAGGTGGTGCCGTGGTTGGGATTTGACCAATAACCTTAGTACTGCCAGGTGGAAGTGCTAACCACTCAGCCACTGTGTGCCAAGGTTTTCATTAGATTAGAATGTTTAAACAAAACCTGTTCCTCCTTTATCAGAACCCATCAGAGTGTCCCCATACATCAGGTGTCCCCATCAGAGTGTCCCCATACATCAGGTGTCCCCATCAGAGTGTCCCCATACATCAGGTGTCCCCATCAGAGTGTCCCCATACATCAGGGTGTCCCCATCAGAGTGTCCCCATACATCAGGTGTCCCCATCAGAGTGTCCCCATACATCAGGTGTCCCCATCAGAGTGCCCCCCATACATCGGTGTCCCCATCAGAGTGCCCCATACATCGGTGTCCCCATCAGAGTGTCCCCATACATCGGGTGTCCCCATCAGAGTGTCCCCATACATCAAGTGTCCCCATCAGAGTGTCCCCATACACCAGGTGTCCCCATCAGAGTGTCCCCATACATCGGGTGTCCCCATCAGAGTGTCCCCATACATCAGGTGTCCCCATCAGAGTGCCCCCATACATCAGGTGTCCCCATACATCAGGTGTCCCCATCAGAGTGTCCCCATACATCAGGTGTCCCCATCAGAGTGCCCCCATACATCAGGTGTCCCCATCAGAGTGTCCCCATACATCAGGTGTCCCCATACATCAGGTGTCCCCATCAGAGTGTCCCCATACACCTAGTGTCCCCATCAGAGTGTCCCCATACAAGGTGCCCCCATCAGAGTGTCCCCATACACCAGGTGTCCCCATCAGAGTGTCCCCATACACCTAGTGTCCCCATCAGAGTGTCCCCATACCACCTAGTGTCCCCATCAGAGTGTCCCCATACACCAGGTGTCCCCATCAGAGTGTCCCCATACACCAGGTGTCCCCATCAGAGTGTCCCCATACATCAGGTGTCCCCATACATCAGAGTGTCCCCATACCAGGGGTGGACTGACAACTCATGGGGCACCCGGGCAATAGGGGATCATGGGGCCCCTGTGTCCTCACCCACACTCAAAGCACACCCAAAAAGCCTATAAAAAGGTACCAGGGGCATTTCATGGGGCCCCCTACTGACCCCAGGCCCTCGAGCAGTGCCCGAGTGCTCGATTGTTCAGTCCTCCTCTGCCCCATACATTAGAGTGTCCCCATACATCAGGTGTCCCCATACATTAGGTGTCCCATCAGATGCCCCCCTACATCAGGTGTCTCCATCAGAGTGTCCCAATACATCAGGTGTCCCCGTCAGGTGTCCCCTTACCCATCAGAGTGCCCCCATACATCGGTGTCCCCATCAGAGTGCCCCCATACATCGGGTGTCCCCATCAGAGTGCCCCCACACACATCGGGTGTCCCCATCAGCGTGCCCCCATACATCGGGTGTCCCCATCAGAGTGCCCCCATACATCGGGTGTCCCCATCAGCGTGCCCCCATACATCAGGTGTCCCCATCAGAGTGCCCCCATACATCAGGTGTCCCCATCAGCGTGCCCCCATACATCGGGTGTCCCCATCAGAGTGCCCCCATACATCGGGTGTCCCCATCAGAGTGCCCCCTTACATCAGGTATTCCCATCAGAGTGCCCCCTTACAGTGCCCCCTTAAATCAGGTATTCCCCCCCACATCAAGTGCCTTCCTACATCGGGGGGTCCCCCCCACCAGAGTGCCCCCATTACATCGGGGGGTCCCCCCAACAGAGTACCCCCCTTACATCGGAAAGGCCCCCCCCCACCAGAGTGCCCCCTTACATCGGGGCCCCCCCAGAGTGCCCCCACACATCAGGTGTCTCCATCAGACTGGCTCATGGATCAGTGTATTTACTCTCAAAAACCCGGGGGAGGGCAAAGCTAAAATCTGGGGGGGGGGGGGGGGGGGGGGGGGGGGGGGGGGGGGGGGGGGGGGGGGGGGAAACAGGCCACCCCAGCACCCCCCTAGATTGGGCCCTGTGTCACCCTATAACAGGAAGTGTCAGAAGAAGGACCGTCATGGCAGGATCACCATTGATTTTGGAATGCTGCCAATGACGGGGTTATCTAATGGAGCAGACGGGGAGCTCCGGCCAATCGGCATCCATTAGATCCACAGGAAGCGGTGAGTGGCTGGTGTGCGATAATGACCCAGCTCCTCGCCCCGAGTCCGGCGGCCATCATGTGAACTGACCCCTCCCCCACATTTCTCATTTCTTGTCTCCCCCAGAGAGAAGACGAAATTGCATCTTGACCCCCTTGGCCACCAACCAGCTGCAGAACCAAGAGAACCAGTGCTGCAAGGTGCGCTCCCTCTTCCACGCCGGCCTGGACCGCCACAGTTCGGAGGAGGAGCTGGAACGCATCAGCAGGGAATTCGCCGCCGAGAAACGCAAATGGTCGCAGGTGAGCCGGCTGAGCTGCCACAGCGACAACACATCGTCCAGCGACGAGGAGGTCAAGCACCTGTGCGCCATGTCCTTCAGGCCTGTAGAGCAGAGCGAGGGCCTCCGCGCCAATCCCAGCCCCATCCTGTTCAGCGCTTCCCCGCCGAAGAGACTACCACCCCTGAGCCGAAACCCCCACCCCCCTGAGCCGGAACCCCGCCTCCCGCCCCATTCTATTCACAAGTATGGGGTCAACGTTCGACCAAGGAATGCCCTGCAAGAGGCACAGACAAGGCTTTGGAGACAAGTACAGCCGACCCAGCCTGGACCTGGAGAAGATGCAACAGGTAGGTCCAACGTACTGCAGAACCGAGCCTAGATGTGTCCCTGGAGGGGGGAGCTGGGCGGGGCCAAAAACGTTCGCTTCATTCCCATTCCTTATTTAACCCCCCCGGTTACATCAAGCCCGACTTTGAAATCGCGTGACTAATGCAGGCCATAGACGGATCGAAAAACTGTCCGTTTTTAAAAAAACAAAAATGAAAAATTGGTCGTTCAATCGGCCGACGTTACCACCAACGGTAAAAAAAAAAATCAGCCGATTTTCATCCCATCTCGGGCCGGCATTCAATTACTTCTGTCCCTGCAGAGAGCTCCGCTATTGTATTTAACATGAAAAAGTATTGCGGTTGCAACAATGTATCCATTTGTATCAATTTCGGATACAGATGTTTTATTCGGATACAAATAGATACATTGTTGCAACTGAAAGACTTTTACTATAAAATATAATAGCGGACTGGAATTCTTATTTTTCTTCTCCCTCCTCTTCTTTCTTCTTCTGCTTCTTCTTCTTCTTCCTCTTCTTTTTCTTCTCCCTCTCTTCTTTTTTCTACTTCTTCTTCCTCTTCTTTTCTTCTCCCTCTTCTTTTTCTACTTCTCCTTCTTCTTCTCCTTTCTTTTCTTCTTCTTCTTTTCTTCTCCTTCTTCTTCTTTTACTTCTCCCTCTTCTTCCTCTTCTCCTTCCTCTTCTTCTTTCTCTTCTTCTTCTTTTCTTCTTCTCCTCCTTCCTCTTCTTTTTCTTCTTCTTTTTCTCTTCTTCTCCTTTTCTTCTCCCTCTTCTCCTTCTCCTTCTTTTTTTTTTCTTCTTTTCTTCTTCTCCCTCTTCTTCTTCTTCCTCTTCTTCTTCCTTCTTCTTTTTTTGCTTCTTCTCCTTCTTTTCTCTTCTCCTTCTTCTTTTCTTCTTCTCCTCCTTCCTCTTCTTTTTCTTCTTCTTCTTTTTCTTCTTCTTCTCCTTTTTCTTCTCCTTCTCCTCCTTTTTCTTCTTCTTCTCCTTCTCCTTTTCTTCTCCCTCTTCTTCTTCTTCTTCCTCTTCTTTTGCTTCTTCTTCCTCCTTCTTCTTTTTCTACTCTTCTTCTTCTTCCTTCTCTTCTTTTTCTTCCTCTCCTTTTTTTCTTATCCTTCTTCTTCTTTTTCTTCTTTTCTTCTTTTCTACTTCTCCTTCTTTTCTACTTCTCCTTCTTCTTTTCTTCTTTTTTTTCTTCTCCCTCTTCCTCTTCTTTTTCTTCTTCTCCTTTTTTTTCTCCTTCTTTTCTACTTCTCCTGCTTCTGCTTCTTCCAGGTCACAGCTCATGCTCAGATTTTATATCGATAAAACGATTGGCCGATTTGCCCATCATTGCCAGGAAAATCAGCCGATTTTTTCCAAGTTTACCGCTAAAAAAAATGTGCCAAAACCCCGAAAAACGGCCGACCAACTAACCCACTAATGGTGCAACAATCGTCCGATTTTCGACCCATCTATGGCCTGCATAAAGCCAACCACACACGGGTCGAATTCCGAAAAAAAGTTTTCTTTCGAAAATCTTTTCTAAGAATCTTCGTTTCGAATTACGCACCATTAGTGGGCCACAGAAACGGCCAATTTTTCGTGTGACCATCGAATTGGAGTGATCGGGCATGTTGGAAATTTTTTGAGAAACAAACGAATTTTGCGTCAATGACGGGAGAATCGTGTGAGAAATATAAAGCTGTGACCTGGAGAGAAAAGAAAATTCTGTGCAAATCGCACCAAAAGTAGCGCATGGACGACTTTAGAGATCGGCGCGGCTCCAACCAAGCCAGAACCGCGCCAATATGGCCGCTGTAATGGCGGACAATAGGGTGCGACTTGGCATGTAAATCACATCCAGTGCGACCGGGGTGTAAATCATTTTGTCTCATATTTCAATTGTTTTCGGGAATTCATTTCGTTTTCGGATTTGATTCGATACAAATTAAATTCGACTGAATTCGGAATTGAATTGGCATTCTAATTTATTCTATTCGAAATTAGAATTTCGGAAGACGGTTATATTTCTTTCTATTACGTTTCTATTCTATTCTATTCAACTTTGATTTTATTCTATTTGAATTTGTTTATTTATTTATTGAATTTATTTATTTATTTGAAATTTTCTGAAGACCGTTCAATTCTTTCTATTCTATTATTTTTTTGTTCTATTCTACTTTTATTTGTATACGAATTTATTCTATTCGAAATTAGAATTTTGGAAGAAGGTTATATTTCTTTCTATTATATTTCTATTCTATTCTATTGTTTTTTTTTCCTATTCTTTTTTTTTCTATTCAATTCTAATCTATTCTATTTGAATTTTGAAAAACGGTTATATTCTATTCTATTTTATTTATTTTTTCTATTTTTTCTATTTTTTATTCTAATCTATTCTTTTCAAATTTATTCTATTTAAAATTAGAATTTTGGAAGAAGGTTATATTTATTTCTATAATTTTCTATTCTATTCTATTTTTTTTTTCTATTCTATTCTTTTCTATTCAATTCTATTCTATTTTTTTTTTATTCTATTCAATTCTAATCTATTCTATTTGAATTTTGAAAAACGGTTATATTCTATTTTTTTTATTCTATTCTTTTTTTTATTCTATTCAAAATTAGAATTTTGGAAGAAGGTTATATTTTTTCTATAATATTTCTATTTTTTCTATTTTTTATTCTATTCTATTCTATTCTATTTTTTTTTATTCTATTCAATTCTAATCTATTCTATTTGAATTTTGAAAAACGGTTTTTATTCTATTTTTTCTATTCTATTTTTTTCAAATTTATTCTATTCAAAATTAGAATTTTGGAAGAAGGTTATATTTTTTTCTATAATATTTCTATTTTATTTTATTTTTTTTATTCTATTCTATTTTTTCTATTTTTTTTTATTCTATTCAATTCTAATCTATTCTATTTGAATTTTTTTTTTATTCTATTTTTTTTATTCTATTCTTTTTTTTTTTTTTTCTATTCAAATTAGAATTTTGGAAGAAGGTTATATTTATTTTTTATTTTTTTTTTATTTCTTTTTTTTATTTTTTTTTTTTTATTCTATTTATTCTATTTTTTTTTTCTATTCTATTCAATTCTAATTATTCTATTTGAATTTTGAAAAAACGGTTATTTCTATTTTTTCTATTCTATTCTTTTCAAATTTATTCTATTCAAAATTTTTATTTTGGAAGAAGGTTATATTTATTTCTTAATATTTTATTTTATTCTATTTTTTTTTTTTTTTTTCTTTTTTTTTTTTCTATTTTTTTTTTCTATTCTATTCAATTCTAATCTATTCTATTTGAATTTTGAAAAACGGTTATATTCTATTTTTTTTTTCTATTCTTTTCAAATTTATTCTATTCAAAATTTGAATTTTGGAAGACAGTTATATTTTTTTTTTTATGTTATTCTATTGTTTTTTTTTTCTATTCTGTTCTATTCTTTTAAATTCTGTTCAGATTCAAATGTAGTTTATTTGAAATTTGAATTTTGGAAGACAGTTATATTCTATTTTATTTTATTTATTGTTTTTTTTTATTTTTTTCTTTTTATTTTTTTCTTTTTTATTCTATTTTTTACTTTAAACTTCCTTTGGCTGTTCTCTCCCCTTTGTGTATCCAAGTAATTTTTTTTCCAGGATAAATCAGACATTTGGCAGTGTTACCATCTCCTGCTTTATATATACACTATATTACCCCAAGTGTTGGGCTGCCGCCCTTTCCACACACATGACCTTTAATGCCCCCCCAGTCTTAGTCCGTAGGGTTCAATATTGAGTTGGCCCCGCCCTTTCCCACGCACACGACCTTTAATGGCCCCCCCCAGTCTTAGTCCGTAGGGTTCAATATTGAGTTGGCCCCGCCCTTTGACCTTTAATGCCCCCCAGTCTTAGTCAGGGTTCAATATTGAGTTGGCCCCGCCCTTTGCAGCTATAACCAGCTTCAACTCTTTGGGAAGGCCGTCCACAAGGTTTAGGAGGGTGTCTATGAAGGTTTGGCAGGAACCCCTCATAATGGGCACAGCGGGCGTACAGACCCAGGAACTCAGCACAGGGATGGTGGGAACCCCTCATAATGTGCACAGTGGGCGTACAGACCCAGGAACTCAGCACAGGGATGGTGGGAACCCCTCATAATGGGCACAGCGGGTGTACAGAGCCGGGAACTCAGCACAGGAATGGTGGGAACCTCTCATCATGGGCACAGTGGGTGTACAGAGCCGGGAAATCGGCATAGGGATGGTGGAAGCCCCTCATAATGGGCACAGGGGGCGTACAGAGCTAGGAACTCAGCACAGGGATGGTGGGAACCCCTCATAATGGGCACAGGGGGGCGTACAGACCCTGGAGCTTAGCACAGGGATGGTGGGAACCCCTCATAATGGGCACAGCGAGTGTACAGAGCCGGGAACTCAGCACAAGGATGGTGGGAACCCCTCATAATGGACACAGCAGGGGTACAGAGCTGGGATCTCAGCACAGGGATGGTGGGAACCCCTCATAATGGGCACAGCGGGGGTACAGACCCGGGAACTCAGCACAGGGATGGTGGGAACCCCTCATAATGGGCACAGCGGTTGTACAGACCCGGGAACTCAGCACAGGGATGGTGGGAACCCCTCATAATAACATGTACAGACCTGGGAACTCACCAGTAGAGGGATAGGTCTGGTGGTTTAACTCTCCACCCTCTACAAAACAATGAAATATCAAGCTTCAGTGGACCAACTCTTTGTGGACTTTTTGTGGACCGGCCCATACACTGATAAGAGGTCGGGGTCACGGGTCTGGGATTGTCCGTGTCACAGGAAGGGATGCCAGCGAGGGCCACCTGAAGCCACAAACTGCTAAGCATCTCAGGCCTTCATCTTCAGTCTAGAATGGACTGCTCCTTTAAGAACCTTTTCTAGTCCCCCCCAGGCCTCCTGTGTCCTCCTGTCCTCCCTGCTCCCTCCTTGCTGGATGACATCATGGAATAATTGTCTACTCAGCCCGTAATAAGTCTAATAACCACTTTAACAAGAAGTGTTGTCAGACCTCCATGATCTGCAGACCGTTGTCAGACCTCCATGATCTGCAGACCGTTGTCAGACCTCCATGATCTGCAGACCGTTGTCAGACCTCCATGATCTGCAGACCGTTGTCAGACCTCCATGATCTGCAGACCGTTGTCAGACCTCCATGATCTGCAGACCGTTGTCAGACCTCCATGATCTGCAGGTTCTGAGGTGCCGTAAATCTTAGGAACACGTCTTCTGAAACCCGGCAAGTAAAGTTCCTTTCATGGAGGTATGGCCGGGTCCCAGGATGGAGAACAACTGGAAGCCCTGGAAGTTCACCATCAAATTTCTGCATTCATTGCTGGGTACCAATCCATAGGGAACACTACACTCACACCCCCCCACCCCACTTATCCCTCCCCCCCTTTATGTTCCTCCTCTCCCCCCCACTTATCCCCAATGTTCCTCCTCTTCCCCCCACTTATCACCCCCCCCATTATCGACAATGTTCCTCCTCTTCCCCCCACTTATCCCCAATGTTCCTCCTTTTCCCCCACTTATCCCCAATGTTCCTCCTCTCCCCCCACTTATCCCCAATGTTCCTCCTTTCCCCCCCCCACTTATCCCCAATGTTCCTCCTCTCCCCCCACTTATCCCCAATGTTCCTCCTCTCCCCCCACTTATCCCCAATGTTCCTCCTCTTCCCCCCACTTATCCCCAATGTTCCTCCTCTTCCCCCCACTTATCCCCAATGTTCCTCCTCTTCCCCCCACTTATCCCCAATGTTCCTCCTCTTCCCCCCCCACTTATCCCCCACTTATCCCCAATGTTCCTCCTCTTCCCCACTTATCCCCCTCCTCTTCTCCCCCCACTTATCCCCAATGTTCCTCCTCCTTTCCCCCCCAATGTTCCTCTCTTCCCCCCACCCCAATGTTCCCCCCACTCCTTTCCTCCTTTACCCCACTTATCCCCAATGTTCCTTCTCTCCCCCCACTTATCCCCAATGTTCCTCCTCTCCCCCCACTTATCCCCAATGTTCCTCCTCTTCCCCCCCACTTATCCCCAATGTTCTCCTCCTCCCCACTTATCCCCAATGTCCCCTCTTCCCCCACTTATCCCCAATGTTCCCCTCCTCTTCCCCCCACTTATCCCCAATGTCCCCCCTCTCCCCACTTATCCCCAATGTTCCTCCTCTCCCCCCCATTAATCCCCAATGTCCCCCTCTCCTCCACTTATCCCCAATGTCCCTCCTTTCCCCCCCCCCCACTTATCCCCAGTATTCCTCCTCTTCCCCAATTTCCCCCCCCATTAATCCCAAATGTCCCCACCTTATCCCCAATGTCCCCCTCTTCCCCCCACTTATCCCCAGTATTTCCTCCTCTTCCCAATATTCCCCCACTTATCCCCAATGTCTCCCTCTTCCCCCCACTTATCCCCAATTTCCCCTCTTCCTCCCCCCACTTATCCCCAATGTTCCCCCTCTCCCCCCCCAATTCTTCCTCTTCCCCAATATTCCCCCATTAATCCCAAATATCCCCCTCTCCTCCAATTATCCCCAATGTCCCCCTCTTTCCCCCAATCATCTCTTATCCTCCTCTTCCCCAATTTTTAATCTCCTCTTCCCCATTAATCCCCAATGTCCCCCTCTTCCCCCCACTTATCCCCAGTATTCCTCCTCTTCCCCCAATATTCCCCCATTAATCCCAAATGTCCCCCTCTCCTCCTCTTATCCCCAATGTCCCCCTCTTCCCCCCACTTATCCCCAGTATTCTCCTCTTCCCCAATATTCCCCCATTAATCCCAAATGTCCCCCTCTCCTCCTCTTATCCCCAATGTTCCCCCTCTCCCCCCACTTATCCCCAGTATTCTTCCTCTTCCCCAATATTCCCCCATTAATCCCCAATGTCCCCTTCTCCTCCAATTATCCCCAATGTCCCCCTCTTCCCCCCACTTATCCCCAATTTCCTCCTCTTCCCCCCACTTATCCCCAATGTTACCCCTCTCTTCCACTTATCCCCAGTATTCTTCCTCTTCCCCAATATTCCCCTATTAATCCCCAATGGAATTTTCACCGTCGAGGCCCGTGAGCTGGTTGCAGGATGTGAGATATCTAGATTGGGATGCTGGTTACATTGTATTGTAGAAAGCTGTCCGTCTACCAGCATGCAGGAGGAAGATGACACTGATACATGGACCCGGACTGATCGCAGTTCCTTCTGCCTGCAACCTGAGAAATGTCACGTCACCTCTAGTGTGTAAAAGAGGATCCATCACAGTTAAAGGGGAACTGAACCCGTGACTGTGATCATCTTAAAGTGCACCCATACTGCAGCTGAACTCGTGACTTCTCCGGAGATCTGTGCAGTAATCTACTGTGTCCTTGTTCAGCACTTCCTGATGGAGGGTGACAACACTCTGTCTCTGTATTGCAGTTCTTCTGCATTGTCACCTTGTCACAGGCTCTCCCATATAAACATCCTTAAGGATCTCCCTTCCTAAACACTCCCCTACCTGAACCCAACCATCCCGACCAGAACTCTTCATTCTCCCTACCTGAACTAGATGCTCAACCGTCATCTATCTGAATGCTCAGACCTCCCCGGCTGAACGCTCAACCCTCCTCCTCCCGGACACTCAACTGTCCCCTACCTGAACACTCACACTTAACACTCCCTTACCTCAGTGTTTCTCAACTCCAGTCCTCATGGACCCCCAACAGGTCATGTTTTCAGGATTTCCCTCAGATGAAACAGCTGTGGTAATTACTAAGGCAGTGAAACTGATCAAATCACCTGTGCAAAATAATGGAAATCCTGAAAACATGACCTGTTGGGGGTCCATGAGGACTGGAGTTGAGAAACACTGCCTTACCTGAACACTTCAACCCTTCTTACCTGGACACTCAGCCCTCCTCTTCCTGAACATTCAACCCTTCTTACCTGGACACTCAGCCCTCCTCTTCCTGAACATTCAACCCTTCTTACCTGGACACTCAGCCCTCCTCTTCCTGAACATTCAACCCTTCTTACCTGGACACTCAGCCCTCCTCTTCCTGAACATTCAACCCTTCTTACCTGGACACTCAGCCCTCCTCTTCCTGAACATTCAACCCTTCTTACCTGGACCCCCTCCTCTTCCTGAACATTCAACCCTTCTTACTTGGATACTAAACCCTCCCCTACCTGGACACTTCGTTCTCCCTTACTTGAACTTTCAACCCTTCTTACTTGGACACTCCTCTACCTGAACACTCAACTCTTCACTACATGGACAATCAACCCTCCCCTACCTGGACACATAGTTCTCCCTTTACTGAACTTTCAACCATTCTTTCTGTCTGGACACTCAAACCCTCCCCTACCTGGGCACTCAGCCCTCCTCTTCCTGAACATGCAACCCTTCAACCTGGACACTTAGTTCCCCCTGAACTTTCAACCATTCTTACCTGAACACTCAACCCTCCCCTACCTGGATACTTAGTTCTCCCTTACTGGAACTTTCAACCCTTCTTACTTGGACACTCTTCTACCTGGACACTATAACCCTCCTCTACCTGACCACTCAACCCTTCACTACATGGATATTTAACCCTCCCCTACCTGGACACTGAACCTGCCCCTACCTGAACGCTCAATCCTCTCTTACCTGGGCACTCAACCCTCCCCTACCTGGACACTTAGTTCTTCCTTACTTGAACTTTCAACCCTTCCCTACCTGGACATTTAACCCTTCCCTACCTGGACACTCAACCCTCCCTACCTGGACACTCGACCCTCCCCTACCTGGGCACACGACACTCACCTACCTGGACGTTCAATCCTCCCTTACCTGGGCACTCAACCTTCACCTACCTGGTCATTTAACTCTCTCTTACCTGACCTATTCAACCCTTCCCTACCTGGACACTCAATCCTCCCCTACCTGAATGCTCAACCCTCCTCTACTCTCTCTCAATCCTTCCTATCTGAACACTGAACCCTCCCCTACCTGGACACCCAACGCTCACCTAACTGAATACTCAAACGTCCCCTACCTGGACAATCAACCCTCCTTACCTGGACAATCAACCCTCCTTACCTGGACAATCAACCCTCCTTACCTGGACAATCAACCCTCCTTACCTGGTCAATCAACCCTCCTTACCTGGTCAATCAACCCTCCTTACCTGGTCAATCAACCCTCCTTACCTGGTCAATCAACCCTCCTTACCTGGTCAATCAACCCTCCTTACCTGGTCAATCAACCCTCCTTACCTGGTCAATCAACCCTCCTTACCTGAAAAATCAACCCTCCTTACCTGGATATTCAGCCATCCTCTACCTGGATACTCAAATGTCCATTACCAGGACAATCAACCCTCCTCTACCTGGATATTCAACCCTCCTCTACCTGGATATTCAACCCTCCTCTACCTGGATATTCAACCCTCCTCTACCTGGATACTTCAACCCTCCTCTACCTGGATACTCAACCCTCCTCTACCTGGATACTCAACCCTCCTCTACCTGGATATTCAACCCTCCTCTACCTGGATACTCAGCCCTCCTCTACCTGGATACTCAACCCTCCTCTACCTGGATACTCAGCCCTCCTCTACCTGGATACTCAGCCCTCCTCTACCTGGATACTCAGCCCTCCCTACTTGACTACCCCCCCCCACAAATATTCAACCCTCCCAACCCTCTGTAAGTACATGCAGCTCTGCAGAGTTCTCACCCTTTGAGAAGAGGAAACCTAAGCAGGGATTGGAATCCATTTTACGAGGGATGGTGTCAAGGCTCTTAGGACAGCGGTTTGTGTATCTTGGATAGCACACACAATGTATCAACAGTCCCAGTCAACAATGTATTTTATGTGGCGCTCTAGACTTCCTTTTAACCTTCTCAACACAAAACCGCATCTAATATCCACCTAATTCACGTCTCTATTCTTCTCTCTTCCAGAAAATGCTGCTAAAGAAGAATTGTGGATCAAAGACTAGAGTTATTAAAATCCGAGTAAGTACCCGTCTCATCTCTAATACACAGATCATAGGTCATGCTCCTGAGCACACAGACAGTAATCAAAACCCGACAGAGGTTCTGACCCCAGACTGATTGACAGCGGCAATAGCCTCGCCCCAGAAATTGAGTCCGTAATCCGCTTTCATATCCACCCGCTGTCAGGTTCCATATCTGGGTAATGACATCACCACTATCCATGGCCCCTTTGTTTACATTCATCTTTCTGCCAAGCAATCTACCCAATAACCATTGTCCCACATGGGAGAAAAATATATTTGAAATATATTTTAAAATTTTCTTACCAAATATACTGACATATATTTGAAATACTAAAATTTTGGCCGTATTCAATATATTTCAAACTATAGTAAAAATAATAAAAAAAATATATATATATATATATACTGTATGTTTAAATATAAGTTTTGATTACAAAATATCTGAAAAATATTTTTAAAAATACATTTTCAAATATACTGTATGTCTTTAAAAATACATTTAATCTGCATTTTTGAAATGCATTTACGAATATATGTTAAAATGACCTTTTTTTCTATATGTTAAAAAAAATCTGAAGAATATATTTGAAAAAAATATATTTTAAAAAATATTTTTTCATATATTTTGTCATATATAAAAACACATTTCAATATATATATTTATATATAATAATAATAATAATTATTATTATTATTATTATTATTATTATTATACAGGATTTATGGCGCCAACAGTTTGCTCAGCGCTTTACAATATAACGGGAGACAATACAGCAACAATACTGTTCAATACAAGAGGGATAGGAGGGCCTGATCCTGGGAGCTTACAATCTAGGAGGGAGGGGCTGGTGGTACAAAAGGTAATAACTGTGGGGGGTGGACTGGTAGGAGGAGTAGAAGATTCCATTATTAGCTGAGGGCAGGATAGGCTTCCCTGAAGAGAGAGGTTTTCAGAGATCACCTAAAAGTGGGCAGAGTAGGCGATTGTCTGATAGCTTGGGGTAGAGAGTTCCAGAGGATGGGGGAAGCTCTGGAGAAGTCCTGGAAACGAGCATGGGAGGAGGAGACAAGGGAACTAGAGAGCAGGAGGTCATGCGAGGAGCGGAGAGTACGGTTTGGATGATATTTGGAGACAGATTGGTGATGTAATTTGGGGCGGAGTTATAAATGGCTTTATATGTTATTGTTAATGTTCTGAATTTTATCCGTTGGGCAATGGGAAGCCAGTGGAGGGATTGGCAGAGAGGGGTGGAGGCCAGTGGAGGGATTGGCAGAGAGGGTTGGAGGCCAGTGGAGGGATTGGCAGAGAGTGGTGGAGCCCAGTGGAGGGATTGGCAGAGAGGGATGGAGGGATTGGCAGAGAGGGGTGGAGACAAGTGGAGGGATTGGCAGAGAGGGGTGGAGGACACTGAATGGAGGCCAGTGGAGGGATTGGCAGAGAGGGATGGAGGGATTGGCAGAGAGGGGTGCAGGCCAGTGGAGGGATTGGCAGAGAGGGGTGGAGGACACTGAGTGGAGGCCAGTGGAGGGATTGGCAGAGGGGGGTGGAGGACACTGAAATGGAGGCCAGTGGAGGGATTGGCAGAGAGGGGTGGAGGCCAGAGGCAGAGGGGTGGAGGACACTGAGTGGAGGCCAGTGGAGGGATTGGCAGAGGGGGGTGGAGGACACTGAGTGGAGGCCAGTGGAGGGATTGGCAGAGGGGGGTGGAGGACACTGAATGGAGGCCAGTGGAAGGATTGACAGAGTGGGGTGGAGGACACTGAATGGAGGCCAGTGGAGGGATTGGCAGAGAGGGGTGGGAGGACACTGAATGGAGGCCAGTGGAGGGATGGCAGAGGGGGGTGGAGGACACTGAGTGGAGGCCAGTGGAAGGATTGACAGAGTGGGGTGGAGGACACTGAATGGAGGCCAGTGGAGGGATTGGCAGAGAGGGGTGGCAGATACAGAACGGTTAGTAAGGTGGATGAGTCTGGAAGCAGCATTCATGATAGGCTGAAGAGGGGATAGCCTGCGATGAGGTCGGCCAATGAGGAGGGAGTTACAATAGTCAAGGCGATCGATCACCAGGGAGGGAATGAGTTGCTTGGTGGTTTCCGAGGTTAGGAACGATCATATCTTGGAATACGGCCAAAATTGTAGCATTTCAATTATACAGCAATATATTTGGGAAGAATGTTTTTAAAGTATATTTCTTTTTTTTTTTTTTCAATCACTTTTATTGCTGTCACAAGGAATGTAATCACCTCCTGAGACAGCAGTAGGCAGAGACAGGTCCCCTTTATGGAGGGATTGGGGGGTCTATAAGACCCCCCAATCCCTCGTCTGCCCTTAAAATAATATTTTAACATCAATCTCGGTGTTTCTGAATGCTTTCAATTCTTTAAAAATGGCGGCGATTAGTTCCGAGTAAACTGGAAGTGATGTCATCAATAGGGCAGCGGTCACTAAATGGCAGACTGCGGTCCAAGAATGTCCGAGCAGCGCTCCCACCCGGACCACCAGACTGGAATGACAGATCCGCGCCTCAGCAAGGCGGTCTTCCCGGCAACCGATGATATCACGCATGTGCCCCGCCCCTTGCATGGCTCTATCTCCCCTTAACATGCAGTGTGCCCATCAGAGTGCCCCCTTAACATAAAATGTGCCCATCCTGATGTAGGGGGCACTCTTATGATAAATGTGCCCACCTGATGTAGGGGGCACTCTGATGGGATTGCCTGATGTAGGGGGCACTCTGATGGGAATGTCTGATGTAGGGGGCACTCTGATGGGAATGCCTGATGTAAGGGGGCACTCTGATGGGAATGCCTGATGTAAGGGGGCACTCTGATGGGAATGCCTGATGTAAAGGGGCACTCTGATGGGAATGCCTGATGTAGGGTGCACTCTGATGGGAATGCCTGATGTAAGGGGGTACTCTGATGGGAATGCCTGATGTAAGGGGGCACTCTGATGGGAATGCCTGATGTAAGGGGGCACTCTGATGGGATTGCCTGATGTAAGGGGGCACTCTGATGGGATTGCCTGATGTAAGGGGGCACTCTGATGGGATTGCCTGATGTAAGGGGGCACTCTGATGGGATTGCCTGATGTAGGGTGCACTCTGATGGGATTGCCTGATGTAGGGGGCACTCTGATGGGAATGTCTGATGTAGGGTGCACTCTGATGGGAATGCCTGATGTAGGGGGCACTCTGATGGGAATGCCTGATGTAAGGGGGGACACTCTGATGGGAATGCCTGATGTAAGGGGGCACTCTGATGGGAATGCCTGATGTAAGGGGGTACTCTGATGGGAATGCCTGATTTAAGGGGGCACTCTGATGGGAATGCCTGATGTAAGGGGGTACTCTGATGGGATTGCCTGATGTAAGGGGCACTCTGATGGGAATTGCCTGATGTAAGGGGGTACTCTGATGGGGACACATTACTTAAGGGGGTGTTCGGATGGGACATCTGATATAGGGGGGGTTACTCTGACGGTGGCAATTGATTTATGGGGGAAGTCTGATGGTGGCACCCAATGTAATAAATGACTCTGGAGGGGGAACCTGATGTAAGGGGGAACATTAATGGGGACTTCAATATCCCAATGCTGGGCTCGGCTCTCTGCCCATGAAGAGCCCGGGCCTTGTGGGTAAACCTTTGTGATTTCGGCATTTGTAAAACCATCAAAAAAGAGAAGGGGAAGGGTGCGGGAAGTCTCGGAGATGCCACGACAGTCTGAGGAACGAGTCCAGCAGAGGGCAGCTATAAGACCAGATCCTATGCAGCCTGTTCATTTTAAGTTTGTTTCTTTCAACTGACTTCCAGAAAATGCAACAAATGCTCAAACAGCCAGCAACAGAAGTTTCCTGCCAGGGCTCCTGAGCGCTCCCTATGCTTTCCCACCGTTGACACTCACTGTCCCTCCAATAATTTGCGCTCTGCAAGGGGGTGGAATCTCTCAGTTCTCTTGTCTTTCCTTCCTATTGATAAGCCGGGGTGTTCGGTGGATATGATGGTTGGCCGGCGGTGATAGGATGGTTGGCTCTGTGGATAGGATGGTGGCCGGCGGTGGATAGGATGGTTGGCCAGCGGTGGATAGGATGGTTGGCCAGCAATGGATAGGATGGTTGGCCAGCAGTGGATAGGATGGTTGGCCGGGGTGGATAGGATGGGGCCGGCGATGGATAGGATGGTTGGCCGGCTGTGATAGGATGGTTGACGGCGGTGGATAATGGTTGATTTCGGCGGTGGATAGGAAAAAAGAGAAGGGGGAAGGCCGGCGGTAGATAGGAAGGTTGACCGGCGGTGGATAGAATGGTTGGCCGGCGGTGGATAGAATGGTTGGCCGGCGGTGAGATAGGATGGTTGGCCGGCGGTGGATAGGATGGTTGGCCGGCGGTGGATAGGATGGTTCCGGCGGTGGATACAAATGCTGGCCGGCGGTGGATAGGATGGTTGGCCGGCGGGGATAGGATGGTTGACGGCGGTGGATGGATGGTTGACGGCGGTGGATAGGATGGTTGACGGCGGTGGATAGGATGGTTGGCGGCGGTGGATAGGATGGTTGGCCGGCGGTGGATAGGGTGGTTCCCGGTGGATAGGGTGGTTGGCCGGCGGTGGATAGGGTGGTTGGCCGGCGGTGGATAGGGTGGTTGGCCGGCGGTGGATAGGATGGTTGGCCGGCGGTGGATAGGGTGGTTGGCCGGCGGTGGATAGGATGGTTGGCCGGCGGTGGATAGGATGGTTGGCCGGCGGTGGATAGGATGGTTGGCCGCGGGGAATAGGGGGGGTTGGGGGGAGGATGCGATCAGCGATTTTTTTTCTTGTGTAACGCGGGACGGGAGAACGACCATGGTCCGCTGATCCTGAGCGCCTTGTCTGGACATTGTAGAGAACTGCGGCCAGCTCTGGCCCGACTTCCTGCCCCATCTCTGTCCTTGTCTCTCCTCCATAGAGAGGAATTCTCCACTTCCCTCCTCCCCGGCACCGCAGCGGCTTTGAATCCCCGGCCAGGAACTTGTTGTGACATATTGCGTTCTTGTTTTAATATCCGTGACATTCTGCAGTTTATTTTTAATTGGGCCCCTTTTTTTTTTTCTTTTTTTTTTACAGCGAACAATGGAGACACTCCCTGATGAGAAAAATAGACCTTTTCTTTTTTTTTTTTTTACAGCGACTCTGGTTTAAATAATCGGCAATAACTCTGCAGGAGATACGGAATCCAAATGTCACATTGTATCAGTTTTTCTGTGCAAGATATCTGCTCTCTCCAAGCTCCTCCCCCAACGTTATACAATGATTTAAATAATAAGTGATCATAATATTATTAAATGTTAATCATTTAGTAGGACCCCCAGCTCTGCTGATCCCCCACTCAGTAGTAACCCCCAGCTCTGCTGATCCCCCACTCAGTAGTAACCCCCAGCTGTGCTGATCCCCCACTCAGTAGTAACCCCCAGCTGTGCTGATCCACACTTCAGTAGTACTTCCAGCTCTGCTGATCCACCGTGCAGTAGTAACCCCCAGCTCTGCTGATCCACGGTGCAGTAGTAACCCCCAGCTCTGCTGATCCACCACTCAGTAGTAACCCCCAGCTCTCTTGATCCCCCACTCAGTAGTAACCCACAGCTCTGTTGATCCACAGTTCAGTAGTAACCCCAGCTGTGCTGATCCACCTTTCAGTAGTACTTCCAGCTCTGCTGATCCACCGTGCAGTAGTAACCCCCAGCTCTGCTGATCCACCGTTCAGTAGTAACCCCCAGCTCTGTTGATCCACCATTCAGTAGTAACCCCCAGCTCTGCTGATCCACCGTTCAGTAGTACTCCCAGCTCTGCTGATCCATCGTTCAGTAGTACTCCCAGCTCTGCTGATCCATCGTTCAGTAGTACTCCCAGCTCTGCTGATCCACCATTCAGTAGTAACCCCCAGCTCTACTGATCCACCGTTCAGTAGTAACCCCCCAGCTCTGCTGATCCACCGTTTAGTAGTAACCCCCAGCTCTGCTGATCCACCATTCAGTAGTACTCCCAGCTCTGCTGATCCACCACTCAGTAGTAACCCCCAGCTCTGCTTTCCCCCACTCAGTAGTAACCCGCAGCTCCGCTGATCCACCATTCAGTAGAAACATCCAGCTCTGTTGATCCACAGTTCAGTAGTAACCCCCAGCTGTGCTGATCCACCTTTTTTTTACTTCCAGCTCTGCTGATCCACCGTGAGTAGTAAATAAGCTCTGCTGATCCACCGTTCAGTAGTAACCCCCAGCTCTGCTGATCCACCGTTCAGTAGTAACCCCCAGATCTGCTGATCCACCGTTCAGTAGTAACCCCAGCTCTGCTGATCCACCACTCAGTAGTAACCCCCAGCTCTCTTGATCCCCCACTCAGTAGTAACCCCCAGTTCTGCTTTTCCCCCACTTAGTAGTAACCCCCAGCTCTGCTTATCCCCCACTCAGTAGTAACCCGCAGCTCCGCTGATCCACCATTCAGTAGAAACATCCAGCTCTGTTGATCCACAGTTCAGTAGTAACCCCCAGCTGTGCTGATCCACCTTTCAGTAGTACGTCCAGCTCTGCTGATCCATCGTTCAGTAGTACTCCCAGCTCTGCTGATCCACCATTCAGTAGCAACCCCCAGCTCTACTGATCCACTGTTCAGTAGTAACCCCCAGCTCTGCTGATCCACCGTTCAGTAGTAACCCCCAGCTCTGTTGATCCACTGTTCAGTAGTAACCCCCAGCTCTGCTGATCCACTGTTCAGTAGTAACCCCCAGCTCTGCTGATCTATCGTTCAGTAGTAACCCCCAGCTCTGCTGATCCATCATTCAGTAGTAACCCCCAGCTCTGCTGATCCACCGTTCAGTAGTAACCCCCAGCATTGCTGATCCACCGTTCAGTAGTAACCCCCAGCTCTGCTGATCCATCATTCATTAGTACTCCCAGCTCTGCTGATCCACCATTCAGTAGTAACCCCCAGCTCTGCTGATCCACCATTCAGTAGTACCCCCAGCTCTGCTGATCCTCCTTCTTTTTGGTCCCTGATAACCTCCTGCTATATTGCTCTCATGCTGCACACTATGCGTGACATTGCTAGTTTCTCCTGCTCCCATCCCTCAGCTCTGCTGATCCTCTGCCGCTCAGTCCTCATTGGTCCCCGTTCAATTTTTGCTATAGCGTTCCTATGTTGCACACCACGCGTGCCATCTGCTAGTTGCTGTGCTCCAGTCCAGCCCCCGCTCACCTTCCTTCTACTCCATCACATGATTCTGGTGCTAGGGGGAACCTTGGCTAGGGCTGACTTGTCTTCTGCACTTGGCTGCTGGTGGCCATCTTGGGGGAGCCTGTGTCTGATTGGACATTGGTGCTCTCCTGAGACATGGGCAGCCATCTTAACCTAGAGCGGCTATATATAGCTCTTGCTGGGTCATTCTGGTGGCCCTGCAGTGTGAAGAGTACTCAAGGGGAGGGACATGCTAGCTATAGAGATATTTCTTGGTGCAGAGAAAGGTTCCTCAGGGGCAGGGCCAGAATAAGGATGGTCCAGTGCACTCCTGGAACACCATTTTGCACCAGATTGTGTTTGGATTGGTCCAATCCTGCCCTCTCTATCGACAGCATAGCAACCTATCTGGAGACCCACTGTGAGCACTGTAGGTAGGTGGGAGAGCAGATCCCCTTTGAGATGCTTCCTCCCCTTGGGAGAGGGCTGGGAATTTAGGCAGGGCCAGGGAGGCAGTAGGTCAGACTGGAGAGGAAGGAGGAGAAGCAGCATCTTGCTGCTGTGTGCCTAAAGGGAGAAGAGCAGGGTCCCCCGCCAGGGTTTCCCATCATAGCCCCCCCATGAGAGAAAGAGAGCTACAGCAGGTCAGTGCAGGCCCGGAGGAAGACCTTAGGAGTTGGTTTACTCCTCGGTCCCTCCCCTCTTTATCCCAGGAAGAGAAGAGCAGCAGGTCTACAGGGAGGGAGCTCCCCTTTTGCAGAAGATATGAGCAACCTTCGGCAGGGTCCAAGACCAAATGTTCCTCATGTGTTGCAACAGAATAGTGATGGAGTCGTGACCCGAGAAGAGCCATGTTAGTAACTGAGGTTTTCCAGTAAAATAACCTAAACTACTTTGAGAAAGGCGAGGCCAGTGTCTTGAACCCCGGAAATTGAGGGGACAAAGCTGCGCACCCGGGAGGGGGTCAGTCTACATTGTGGGGAGTCGTTGGCAAAAGTTCTATACTGTCCAGAAGGTCAGTTGAGTTTGGGGTTTGGCTCAGCTGCTCGCTATGGCAATGTATGAGGCAGCCCACCACCCGCCAACAAACCTGTTCAAGGAGCAATCCTCAAGCGCACTGTTCTGCCTCATAGTCCAAACGCCTTCTTTTGGGTTACCGCCCCATTTTTTTATTATTTGTTACATAAACCAGAACATTCCTAGAAGATGTCTTACTTGGCCCCTTTAAATCTCTCTACCGTTTGGCACCCGCCACGAGGTCTGTGTCTTGTATACAGTATTCCTCTATAGGGAGCGTTGACTAAGCGTCTCGCTAAAAACCAAACCGGAAAATGTTTTCCCTTTTTAAATCCTTTGTGTCGGCCTTTGAACATTCCAGGGTACAGTGTAAACACTGGCGCTTTATAATAATTGTTCCACCTAGCCCGTCAATAAACATGTTTACTCCATCACACCCTAGAAATGGAGAGAGAACACTTCTGCCGGCCAAGTTTTTTTCGCAATGAGCATGCGGGGGAGGGGTGCGCCACACTTACTACGCTTGTCCTGTGTGCTGACAATAGGCCATTGTGTGTCAATCCATTTGTTGGAGGCTTTGAGGTCTTATAAACAGGCTGATCTCAGCCGTACTCTTGGAAGATGAAACGCACTTGGCACGCTCGCCCTGCAGATAAGTGCACCCTCTGGAATGTTGGCTTGCTCCATGTGGGGGTCATCCAGCGTATTAGGAACCAAATAGAGATGTTTAAGGATGCCTGATAAGTGTCGGCTCACAGAATATACAGAACTGCCACCGATCCCCTCATGGATTCTTCGATTTGTATTCATGTTTAGGTACACTTGGAGGTCCATTCCTAACCTCGGAAACTGCTAAGCAGCTTATTCCCTCCCTGGTGATCGATCGCCTTGACTATTGTAACTCCCTCCTCATTGGCCAACCTCATCGCAGGCTATCCCCTCTTCAGTCTACCATGAATGCTGCTGCCAGACTCATCCACCTTACTATCCATTCTGTATCTGCCACCCCCCTCTGCCAATCCCTCCACTGGCCTCCACTCAGTGTCCTCCACCCCTCTCTGCCAATCCCTCCACTGGCCTCCACTCAGTGTCCTCCACCCCTCTCTGCCAATCCCTCCACTGGCCTCCACTCAGTGTCCTCCACCCCTCTCTGCCAATCCCTCCACTCAGTGTCCTCCACCCCTCTCTGCCAATCCCTCCACTGGCCTCCACTCAGTGTCCTCCACCCCTCTCTGCCAATCCCTCCACCCAGTGTCCTCCACCCCTCTCTGCCAATCCCTCCACCGACCTCCACTCAGTGTCCTCCACCCCTCTCTGCCAATCCCTCCACTGGCCTCCACCCCTCTCTGCCAATCCCTCCACTGGCCTCCACTCAGTGTCCTCCACCCCTCTCTGCCAATCCCTCCACTGGCCTCCACTCAGTGTCCTCCACCCCTCTCTGCCAATCCCTTCACTGGCCTTCACACCCTCTCTGCCAATCCCTCCACTGGCCTCCATTCAGTGTCCTGCACCCCTCTCTGCCAATCCCTCTACTGGCCTCCATTCAGTGTCCTCCACCCCTCTCTGCCAATCCCTCCACTGGCCTCCACCCCTCTCTGCCAATCCCTCCACTGGCCTCCACTCAGTGTCCTCCACCCCTCTCTGCCAATCCCTCCACTGGCCTCCACTCAGTGTCCTCCACCGCTCTCTGCCAATCCCTCCACTGGCCTCCACTGGCCTCCACCGCTCTCTGCCAATCCCTCCACTGGCTTCCCATTGCCAAAAGGATAAAATTCAAAACATTAACAATAACGTATAAAGCCATTTATAACTCCGCCCCAAATTACATCACCAATCTTGTCTCCAAATATCACTCAAACCGTCCTCTCTGCTCCTCGCACGACCTCCTGCTCTCTAGCTCCTCCTCACATGCTCATCTCTGGGACTTCTCCAGAGCTTCCCCATCCTATGGAACTCTCTACCCCAATTTATGAGACTATCTCCTACTCTGCTCACTTTTAGGCGATCTCTGAAAACCGATCTCTTCAGGGAAGCCTATCCTGCCCTCAGCTAATAATGGAATCTTCTACTCCTCCTACCAGCCCATCCCCCAGTTACTACCTTTTGTACCACCAGCCCCTCCCTCCTAGATTGTAAGCTCCCTGGATCAGGGCCCTCCTATCCATCTTGTAATGAACTGTATTGTTGCTGTATTGTCTCCCGTTATATTGTAAAGCGCTGAGCACACTGTTGGCGCCATAAATCCTGTATAATAATAATAACTTGGATGTGATCAGGTCACAACTTCAGCCAAAAACCATTTTTTTATGAACTGGTCAGAAATGGTCCTTGTCCTAAATACGGTTGTAGCCACGTGCAGTTAGTGGGTGTGTGCCACTAAGTGGCTCTGTGCCAGAATAGCATTTGCTGACAGCAGTGTCATCAGGTGTTAGGCCCCTTTTAGTTGGAGCGCCCCCCGCAGGGATGTCATGGGGGAGTCAGTGCCCAGTTATAAGTCAGGTTGCATGGAGCTAGGGTTGTCACCTCATCCCTTTAAAACCGAACATGTATTAGAGCTATTTACCCTGAGGTCATCACAGAGGACAAGGGGGCGCTCTTTACATCTGGAGGAAAAGAAATGTCATCTCCAAACACGGAAAGGTTTCTTCACAGTAAGAGCTGTGAGAATGTGGAATAGACTCCCTCCAGAGTTGGTTGTGGCCAGCTCAGTGGATTGCTGTAGGAAAGTCCTGGATTCTTTCTTGGATACACAGAATATAACTGGATAGAACATTTATAGGGAAAGCTGATCCAGGGAATATCCGATTGCCTCTCGGGGGATCAGGAAGGAATTTTTTCCCCTGCAGGAGCAAATTGGATCGTGCTTTGCTGGGTTTTTTTTTTGCCATCCTCTGGATCACCTGTGGGTGTAGGATTATCACTTTTTTTGGTTGAACTGGATGGACTTTTGTCTTTTTTTTCAGCCAGACCAACTATGTAACTATATTAATTACACAGGTTATGAGGCTGATTAAGGTGGTAATTAAAATCACTGAGTTCCTTTTCTGCAATAAATTGGCCTCAGAACCCGTGTACTTGGTATTTGTTCGGTTTTAAAGGGATGAGGTGGCAACCCTAGGAGGAGCCCTAGTGCACTCAGGGCATGGGAGCCAAGCACCCCACACCAGCAAAGATATAACCAGCACGTGGAGGCCTTGTATAGGGCAGGAGGCTGGGGAACAGTCGGTTGTGGACTTTCTGACCCCTATGGAGGTGGGGGCTAGGGCAGATTGCAAAAGGACATTCAGGCAAGGCCAAAAGTACCCTGAGTGAGGCTATTCCCCCTAGAGGGTCCCGGGAGAGGTGTGCCTATGGAGAAGGTGTCTGTGGAGAGCCCAGTCTTGTGAGGACTAATGACCCCGGGTGGAAGAAGATAATGTTAGAGGGAGATGGCTGCTTAAAGTGCTGCATATGCTTTCGCATTTGACTTCTGTGGACCATCCACTAAACGTGATTGACTATGTCTTGTCAAGTGACTTTAGAATGTATGTCAATGTGATGTGACTGTTATGCCATTTCCTGAATTCTATCAGTAAAGAGCAGCAAATTCTACTTGTGTGTAGACATTCCTTGGGATATAAAGGTCAACAGCTGGGAATGTCATATGGAGGGGAGCCTCTGGCATGGAGCGGGGTACAATATGGCAGAGGGATCAACCTCAGCAGGCAGTGTTCTAGCAGGACAGAAGCGGTAGGGACTTGTGCTCTTGGTGCCAATTCTAGACAATGGCAGAGCCCCTCTTGCATGGTCATTAGTCAAAGGATGACTCTTTATTGGATACTGTTCGGCTCCTGCATTGTATATTGGTCACTGATCTTGACTTTGTAAAGCTTGCACCTTCCAGCAGCATACTAAACCCTCCCTATTGTAACCACACATCTATTTTTCTTCGAGATTTCTTTCTCTTTCCATTCTTGCCCATCTTTGCTGGTGATTTACAAGCTTGTTCTCCTGCCAGCTTTGGCCTGTCAACTGTGAAGAAACTTATCCTGCCCTCCCACTCGGCAGATATTGAGAAAGCATTTTATGATAACCGAGGTGTTTACCCGAGCGTAGCAGAAATATGTCCTGGCAACCTTTGTTTGCTTCCTGTAGTTGCTGCTGAAAGTGTCCAGATCTTCAGATCCCGGCTATTTTTTATAGACTGGAGTTTTTGGAAGTAAACACAAACTCCTAGCCAGGGGCAGACTGACAACTCATGGGGCCCCCGGGCAATAGGGGATCATGGGGCCCCTGTGTCCTTGCCCAAACTCAAAAAAGCCTATGAAAAAGGTACAAGGGGCATCTTATGGGGCCTCCTACTGACCCCGGGCAGTGCCCAAGTTTCCAAATGGTCAGTCCGCCCCTGCTCCTAGCAAATGGCAAATGTGAACATCTCCATTTACATGTGGGTACATGTACAGAAGCCTCCTCCAAATGCTGGAGTTACTAGTGGTTAATCATACTCAACTGGACATCCTAAGTAATGTTGAAGACGTTTTGTAGCTTCTCCAAGCCACTTCTTCAGTTCTAATGAGTATTAGGAAATTTGAAGGTTCTTATGTACCCAGATCTTGGTAAAACTAGTTGTAGTTGGTCACCTTCAACTGGACTGTAATGTTGAAAACAGTTCCTAGCTTGTCCAAGCCACTTCTTTTGGTTCTGAGTTTTAGGAAAATTGAAAGTTTGTGTGTATCCAGGTCACGGTACAACGAGTAATAGTTAGCCATCTTTATCTGGCCTTGTTCTGTAATGTTGGAGAAGTTTTGTGAATTCTCCAACCACTTCTTTGGTTTGAAGGAGTTTTTTTAGGAAAATTGAAAGTTCGCATGTATCCATGTCATGGTATAATGAGTAGTACTCCAACATTGCAGAACAAGGCCAGATGAAGATGGCTAACTACTACTCGTTATACCGTGACCTGGATACACGCAAACTTGCAATTTTCCTAAAACTCCTTCAAACCAAAGAAGTGGTTGGAGAATTCATAAAACTTCTCCAACATTACAGAACAAGGCCGGATGAAGATGGCTAAGTTTTATGAATTCTCCAACTACTTCTTTGGTTTGAAGGAGTTTTAGGAAAATGTAAAGTTCACGTGTATCCAGGCCATGATATAAACGAGTAGTAGTTGGCCATCTTCATCTGACCTTGTTCTGTAATGTTGGAGACGTTTTGTGGACCACTTCTTTGGTTCTAATGAGTGTTGGGAAAATAAATGGGTCTCACACTTCCAGGTCATGGTATAACGAGTAGTAGTTGGCCATTTTCATCTGGCCTTTTGTAATGTTGGAGACGTTTTGTGAATTCTCCAACCACTTCTTTGGTTCTAATGAGTGTTGGGAAAATAAATGGGTCTCACATTTCCAGGTCATGATATATCGAAGAAGCCACTTTAGTTTCGAAGAAGTGGCTTGGAGAAGCTATCAAACGCCTTCAACTTTACAGAATATATCCATTTTGAATGTGAACAACTACCGCACGATATATCATGACCTGGACACACGAGAACCTTCAGTTTTCCGAACACTCATTAGTGACTAGGACAAGCCAAGAAACGTCTTCAATATTACGAGTTCATTTGAATGTGATCAACTATGACAGGATATACAGGGGGTTGGAAACACTACATGATTTGCAGGTGTGAAACACTACATGATTTGCAGGTGTGAAAGTGCCAACATGTTTTGCATTGAAAGCAGAAGTGATGTAACATTCTATTGTTTCCGCTGTGTGATGAGACACCTAGCTAACAGGTGAGGAGCCTCGCTTTTCTCATTCACTGCTAGTAAATATGGAGTCATGTCAGAGCTTACTGAGCTTCAAAGAGGACAAATTGGTGCCGCTTAGCTGGTGCCTCTGTGACTGAAGTTGCCAATTTATTTGCCGTGACGCGAGCTACAGTATCAAAGGTGATGGCGGCGTATACAGTTTCCAGGAAAATTACATCTGATAAGCGGTCCACATGGTCAGCTGACCAAAAGAGACAAAAGGACATTTCGCAGGATTGTGACCCAGAATAAGAAAACAACTGCTGCAAAAGTGACTGCAGAGCTCAATCTCAGTGTTCATGGGACTGAGATTGAGTTCTGCAGTCACTTTTTGTTCTTTTCATATTCCGGGTCACAATCCTGCACAATGTCCTTCCGTCTCTTTTGGTCAGCTGACCGTGACGCTTATGCTTATCGACGTTTTCCCGGAAACTGTATACGCCGCCATCACCTTTGATACGAAACCTCGCAACACGGCAAATAAATTGGCGACTTCAGTCACGGAGGCACCAGCTAAGCGGCACCAATTTGTCCTCTTTGAAGCTCAGTAGGCTCTGACATGACTCCA